ACATCAGAGCGGCATCTATGTATCGCTTCCTCCGCTGGCCTTGGCAAACCATGACAAACTACAAAAAACTGAGAGATCAGATTGTAACCATCCCAAGTTGCACCCTTTCCCACTGGGGGTAGGTGACACATTCCATGGAATGGTGGGGCTTTTGCCATTGCAAACACCAACTCTGTGTACCCTGAGAAAGTAAAAGGGTGGCCCAGTTGTGACTAAATAGCTAGCAAGGTTATGGAAAAGCAGCTGCCCACTCTGGCTGCCCACCTGGACAGAGGTCTGGGAAGGCTTGAGGTGGAAAAGTTATTGGCCCTTACTGCTCTTCCCTCACAATAGTATCCCCCTGTCCAGGATACCAACTACATAGAGCCCTGCAGAAAAGCAGGATGGGGCTCATAAGTGATGGGCTTGAGGGGCCCATGCAAACCACAGTGGCCCAAGAAAACCAAGGAAAAGTGCAAGGGGTTATGCTACCAAGGGTTCTCTCTCAGGTACCAATATCTCCCACCATTTCTCAGCATTCAGGGATAAGATTCTTGTTCACTGAATACCCTCATGGGGTGGGGGTGGGGGTGCTGAGAATGGAACCCAGGGCTTCACACAGGCTGTGTGTGTGTGCTTTGCCACTGAGCTACACCCTCAGCTCCTCACTTAGTACCTTCTGCGAACTGGATCCTGTGCCAAGGGCTGGAGGATGAACTAGACCCCACTCTTCCTTCAAGGAGTCCAGTGTCCAGAAGTGAGTTACTTAAGAGGGAAGTAAATGGTGCCCAAAGTAGGCATCAGATGCTGTAGGGGCAAAGTGGAGAGGTGTCCAACACAGAATGGAGCTTGGGGAGGGCTGTACAGAGGAGCTGAGATATTAGGAGGACGAAGGAGGCTGTGGCTAAGAGAACACTGCAAAGGGAAAGAAAGGCAAGGAAGCAGGAAATGGCATGGTGTGACAAAGTGAGTGCATTATGGCTGGAGCAAAGTGTCTCTGTGCATGGTTCTTTTGGAAACATGGGGGTGAGATGAAACTGAAGATGTTTGAAGGGCCCAGAACCTGGGTGTCACACTAAGGAGCCTGAGCTCTATCCTCTAGTCAAAGGCGCAGGGTAGTAATGCAGTCACATTTGCATTTGAGACCACTGCCTGCAGAGAAGAAGAGACCAGAGTGGAGATGGGCAGCAAGGGCAGAAGCACTAGCCCATGGGAGGGATGGCGATGGCCTTGGTGGCTGGTCTTAAGCTCTCTTCTTGAAAAGGAAGATGTAGAAAAGCCAGAAGACCACCTTTCCTCGCTTTCTCTCCACCAGCCTCTTTCTGTCTCCCCAGCTCTTACATGGCCCCCTTTCCTCTCACACTTCTGGTTCTGTTCTGAGGCTGCCCACGGTTGGACCTTGACTCGCCTTCTTATGCAATTGTGGCCCACGCCACTCTCTCTCTTGTCCATACCTCACTGCCCAATTCTTCTCTTTCTTCAATACAGACTGGAGGTCCCTAAGCAGTGATCTACCTAGTAATCCCAGAACACCAAAAAGACAGTGGAGCCCAGAAGCACATGGGCACTGAGGTCTAATAAAACTACTTTCTAGTCCCAGTCCCTCCATATATTACTGAACCTTAGTTTACTCATTCTGCCTATTAATCAGGAACAGCATTACCAAACAGCTTCCAGACTCTGGCTGTGGGGATTGTCAGAGGTGCACATGCAGGTATGCATGTGTGTATGGAAAGGGACTTAGCACCTAGCACACAGTTGTGTAGCTACTGCTTTGCAGATGGAGAATCTGAAACTGGGAAAGAGGGAATGGCTTTCCCAAGCTGGTAGTTTTCTACTTCAGGACTGGAGAGCTCTGCCTCTCTCAGAGCTGGGTGCCCAACTACTGGCAAATGGTGAGATCTGCTTACACTGGCTGTTGTGCTGTGACCCTTCTGGAAGCAGCGCTACTGGCTAAAAGATGGATCAGGGCCTGTCTGGTTGGTGTAAAGGCAGTAGGACCCAGTGGCCTTGGAAAAACAGGTCTAACTGTTCCTGAATGGCAGGGTTATTTTCACTCACTCTTCCCCAAGGTGATATTTTGACCCTTGTTGGGAACAGCCCAATCCCCTGCTACCAACACTGACATATGGGTCCCTGGGTGGAGTGGGTCTGAACATGATGCTTTTGATTTTTTGATCTCAGTCTCAGTCTGACCCAGAATACCTCGAGTCCAGGAGGCCAGCAAATGTCCCCAGAAGGCAAACCCTGCTAAGAGAAAATGGCCCATTGGATTCCTGGAAGCCAGGCAGTGTGTGGGAATAAGGAGTGCAGCCACACTGCTCCAGGGCAGAGCTCTACTGAGAGCCAGCCACTCTTTGGGGAGGGGGTGTCCTCCAAGTATGCAAGGCCAACAAATGATCCCTTTTGTCTACTTTTCAAAGCAGAGGGCCTTCTTAAAGGATTCTGAGAAGCAGGGCCAGGACTCCTGGGTTCTCATAAGTCTTTTAATAATAGTAAAAGAAGAAAACAATTGTAGCAATAAGTCCCATTGTGAGGGTTCCTTTTCATTCAGGGATCTTCAAGAACAGAAACATCAGAGACTAAGATTCAGAATGCTAAATACACAAATTAAGGACAATTTATTTCCAAAGGTGACTGCAGAAATCATTTCATTACAATCAAAAAGGTTTTACAAAACAGAGGAAACACATTACAAAACATCCCAAGAGGCGAGGAAACTGGTGGGGGGAGAGGGGCACAGAGCACCCAAGAACCAGCCTGACAAAGAGGCTCACCCTGCTGCTATCTAGGGAAGTTACAAAGACTGGTTCTGAAGGGAGGCACTGCATGGGGGCAGGAGGGGTGGGGGAGGGGTGGGCCCAGTGCACAGCAATCCCAGCCTGGGAACAAGGAAGGATGGGGAATAGTAAGAGGGGCAGAGACATTTGCCAATGTCCCAGCAGAAATAGTTACATATCAGCCTATCTTATTCTGTTTGCTACAATAATACCAATATAAATGCAGAAGTCT